AAATATAAATAAAATTTAGATGTCACTAGCTGTTATAATAAAAATTATAACAGCTAGTGACATCTAAAACGTATCGATACTGTAACATGATATCTCGGGTCAAATGCTTAAGGTCAGATGTCATGACCCTGAGAATTGTCGGGAATAACACAGGACAGGTTAATAGTTATAAATAAATAAATACTTTAATATTTTTGTGCCTTGCTTTTGACATTTTATAGCTTATAGGTTTCATAAGACCATTATGTTTTATCACATGTTTAATAGCTGGTAATGTTTCCAATCTTGGCAATAAACTGAAAAATACAATTAGATATACTTGTAATAAATTTCTGAATGTATTCCATACGTATGTTCTCATGCTAGCAACTTCTAATCCAATTACATAGTTAAACAGTTTTTCATTTGCATATATTTTTCTACTTGCACTAAGAATCGACTCAACTCTTTTTATATATATACAGATATATGAACTAAATAATATATATGGTAAACTCTTGCTAATCTGGCCTCTGGCTGTGACATAAATGGAGTAAGTTGTGTGGAACTAAATCAAAACTGAAATCCAGTGTGAGGTTTCAGTTTTGATTTAGATGCATGGAAAGTGGTCAGTTTGGCATGGTTACCTTCAATTATGCTTTAAAAAGAAAATATCATATATTGGAACTCACAGAAATTGGAAATATTAGAGAAGTTAAAGCAAGATTGTTTCCAAAAAGCCATTGCTAATGAGCATTGCAAATCTCTCTCATCTTTGTCATAAATAATTATTTACGACATAAAGATGAAAGCGAATCAACTTTGACAGTTTACCACCAAATAGACAGTGAGTTGGGAAAATGAAAAGTTATGTGAAAGAGTGAGAACAATAAACTTAATGTGACCCTTTACAAATGTGGTAATGACTTACCTGTAAGTGGCTTAATCAAAGTAAAAGCAGTGATGTTTAACCTATTCCCTGGTATTCCCAACATATCTTAGGTCGCGACCTAATGATCTTGACCTGCGGACCCAAGATATCTCGTTTCAGCATCGGAACATTTTTCAAACTAGATGTCACTAGTTGTTATAATTTTTATATTAAACAAATTTCTGAAATATATATTTTTTTGTTTTTACATTTATTAATATATCTATTTTGTTTGTGCAAAATAGAAAAATAGTTTCGGATGATTTGGTTATTTTTTCAAAAATTGTAATTTTCATTAGGCTTAACATCAGTAAAAATTCAGCATGGCATGACATGCAACGGAAAAAAGATTTCAACATGGATAGGTTAACAAAACTTAAGAAAAGTATTTTTACTGTTTATCCAACACAATGTAGTGCAACTTAATGATCACTTTGCTTTCTTTCACCTTTATTCTAGTTTATATGTGCTTACATCTCGTGTTTTGGGCTAAATATGCCCCTCTTCAGTCAACAGCATACCTGGATATTACTGGTTTGGCAATCTGAACAAGGTTTCACGTACATACAACACGCGCACTACCTATATACATATTCTGGCATATCTTGATTAATCCGTTTTTTTATCTTACACGGTTAAATCACGATAAGGAGGAGTACACAGTTAATATGATATTCCATTTTGACTGCTATAAACTTGTATTCCTTTTTTATTCACGATAATCCAAAAGACACAGGAACAAAACTTGTATTCCACTAATTAATAAATTATCATTTTTGGGGTTAAATTCTACTTGGATAATATTGGTTGTAGTTATAGAATCTTCAAATCATTAGTTATTTCTTCGTTTCTGAGAAATGAAGAAATAACTTTAATATTAATATAATGAATGTTTTCATCTATTAGATAGATATCTTTGTTGCATAAGCCTATTACAGAGCATAATACCAAATTGAGTATCGAACACAAATTGAATTTTTAAATGGCTGAGGTTTGGGCGTACATCCTGTGCAGAGAATATATATCTATCATAAAGGGAAAAACATTATATAATTAATAAAAATATTTTGATTAATAAACTTGAGAGCATACATGAAGTTAAGGGTGTGGGTAGCTTGGTTCAAACTATAGTAAATTTTTTTTTTGAATTTTCTAATGGTAGCTGTTTTATATGTTAAGTATTGGCTGTGAGGTAGTCTACTGGAAGTTTTTTTTGGATTGAAGAGACTGTACTTAATTAATTACAGTAAATTACGTTGTGATCACACAATTGATTTAAATTTCATATTAAATAAGTTAGAAGTTTTGAAAAAGCCAGTATAAAAAAAAAAATTAAATAAGTTTAAAGGTCAGAATGAGCTGGCTCTTAGATATTTTGGCTGGAGCCCAAGAAAATAAAATTTATCAACTGTAATATGCATAAAATTAAGTATGGACTGCATTAAAATTAAATCAGATTTACGTTGGCAATATCTTAAAATTTTTAAGTATTCAAAACAGTAGATAAGTAATCTCATTTATCTTGTTACGTTTGAGACTTCTGGTCTGTTGAAAAGTGTAAATACTTTTTAAAAACAACACAATTAAAATTGTAATTTTATTTTAAATTTGTATTCATTATGGAAAAAATATCTAATTTCAGTATTTTATCTTCAGTGAAGAGATACCATTTTTAAAATAAAACATATTGCTTTTCTTTCTAAAAATAAAAATATTTACAGTGTGTTTTAGTTGGCGATGGTGGAACAGGAAAAACCACATTCGTAAAGAGACATTTAACTGGTGAATTTGAAAAGAAATATGTTGGTAAGCTATATTTTTAATATTTTATGAAATTGATCTAAAAATATTCCTATGTTGATGTATTATGACAAATTATATAGTAATTTTTGACTACTACTTTTTTTTGATTAGTAGTCATCAAATATAACAATAATATAATATTTTGTAATGATTAGTCATTTAAAATTCATTAATAAGACAGCATTGATTTACATTTATCCTAGTAATATTTTCTAGTCCTATATTTTTATATTGATAAATCTCAAAAATGCAACAGATGTAACATTGTATTTTTTTTTAAATTTAAATAATCATATTTAATGATGGTATTGGAGAGAGAAATTTTAAATGTCATCAATTGCATTTAAAATTCATTGTTTTCATGAATCTTTAGAAAAATCTGTTAAGAATATAGAATAATTTTATATATCAAGATTATCTTGAATTTTTACAGCTACTTTGGGTGTTGAAGTTCATCCACTGGTATTTCATACAAATCGTGGTGCGATTAGATTTAATGTATGGGATACAGCCGGTCAGGAGAAGTTTGGCGGTCTCAGAGATGGATATTATATCCAAGGTAATTTTGACATTTGGCAGTTTAAAACTCTTATCAAATGTTTTTGAATATACATTATTTAAATTATTATTTTAGGGCAGTGTGCTGTTATAATGTTTGATGTTACTTCAAGAGTAACTTACAAGAACGTTCCAAACTGGCATAGAGATTTGGTCCGAGTTTGTGAAAATATTCCAATTGTTCTTTGTGGAAACAAAGTTGATATCAAGGACAGAAAAGTAAAGGCAAAATCTATTGTTTTTCACAGGAAGAAGAACTTGCAGGTAGTTATAAATTTTTAATTTAATAATTAGTTAATGCCAAATAAATACACATGTATATTAATAATAATTTATAGCAGTTAGCAGTGTTTTTCAACCACTTGTCCATGGACGAATATTTGATTTATTGATGCTGGCACAACTGATTATGGGTGACATTTAAACAGTAATCTAGAGTTACTGTACATAACAAAATATGTATAGTAAATCTAGAAGAGCATATAAATAAGTATAATTTGTAACACATATACTGGTAAAATTACAGATAATTTTGTTATTTATGTGCTGAGAAAAAGGTTGGAAAAACTCTGATCTATAGCATCGACACTTTATCGAAAACTTCAAATTCAACTTATCTTTTGTATTCAAGTATCTGTTTCATCAAAATTTAACTAAAAGAAAAATTAATAAACATTTTATTCATTTAAAATTTTTAAATCAATCTTTTCAGGTAACAAAAGATATATATTATTTGCTTTATTGTATAACATTACATTTTAAAAATTAGTACAGTAATACCCTGAACTTACGCGATAGGTGGGACCGAGTGATAACCGCGTAAGTCGAATTCGTGTAAGTCGGGGTATGATTTCGCAATTTGTGTAAAATTCAAATTGAATGTCTGTAAGCTAATTAGTGTTCTCACTAATCTTATCTCGTCTTTTGATTTGTTCACGTTTACAAGAAATCACCACATAGTCTGTCACGTCTTTGTAGATATAACAAACATAGAAATAGCTACAATTTATTTTGTGTTATTTATGTGTCAATTCCGCGCGACACGTCGGAACATGTAAGCTAAACAAGAGTGTGGGAGGAGTTAGTAATCAAAGTTGAGTGGCGCTCAAACAAAAGACGAATTGACGAGAGTTGAAAATCGCGTAAGTCGAGGTATTACTGTATATACAAAAAATATTGATTTTTAAGTTTATCCATTGGATTACTTAATTTCTTTTTTTGAGTGAAAAATGTATAAAAAAAAAGGATAATTTCAGTGTATAACTGTCCTATTCTTGTTAGAACAAATTTTCTAAATGCCCATTAATTAAATTTATTTTTGGGTAATTAAAATTTGTAATGTTTAGTATGTTAAAATTGTGAATTGATATGTGAATAGGTGTTTTTCACTGTTTTAACCTATTCAATGTTGAAATTTTTATTTGTTGCCTGTGA